GTTTTGTTGAGTCTGTTTTGCTGTTTAGTTATAGTTAAGATCAGTTGTTTCAGTTATGATATGCAATACTGACATTTTTGTTTAGGCCCAACATGTAGGACTTGCAGAAAGAGATAACAATTGACAATTTTTTAAAACTAAACAGAGCATTATTAATTTAGCTATAGTGTAAAGTTATGTACAATATAAGTTGTCACCAAAGTATTTTATTCAAACTTTAACCCTAGTATAACAAGTGCAAGTATGTGGTGTAGAAAACAAAGGAGATGAATCTGACTTCAAAATAGTGCATGAGTGCTGGGCATGATGTGATTGACCTAATTCTGTAACTTTGCTTGAGTTTAGATAATCTTTTTAAAGTGCTTTTTGATCAAGTATGCATTGTAGAAAGATGGGTATATATAACTAAGCAGTGCCTCATTAGAGCATATTGGTTCCTGACCATGCAGTATTAAAAATGGGGCTTGTCTGGGTGCCTTTGACCCTGAACATTCTAGTATCATCTGGTCTACACTGGGAGGAAGCAAGTTTATTCAGGTTGGGCCACATGATGTGTAGATGGCATGCATTATAAGGTGACACTATAGTGCATGTGATTTGGTGACTGTCAAATCATAACACAAATTTGTACATAGGGCTTTGGTGTTGCAGTGGTTTAGCTGGACATCTTAGAAACTGGTGGTACAAGTTTTGATTCTTGTGGTGCCTGCCCTTCCTACCTGGATGAGGTGTGGTTGCAGGCGATGTCATACAGCTTCAGCTGTGGGCGCATTGTGAGGTCGCAAGGATGATCAAATTTGTGATGAATTTTTAGTAATCAATTGAGCTAGGCAATTTAAGTCATTTGGTGTGATGCTTTTAGAGCTGAAGAAAATTAAAAAATGTGAAAGTAAGTTGTTTACAAGCAAGCAGGCATACTTGTGACTGAAGCTCAAAGAAGATCCTAGGATTCCATCAGCATATATCCATATGATATTCTGGATCAACCCTTGGGATCCAGCACATGTCTACAAGTAAAAATGACTTGCTTTGGGGTTTATGATCAAAGGGGACCAAAATATCTAGATGACAAATGGGAGCTGTTTAGCATTGAAACAGAACATACAAAATTGAATTAGCTACTCATGTCACATGTTTTCCCATCAAGGGACAGTCTTTTGCCTGTGGTCTGCTCTCATGAAGTTCCATTCTGTGTTCATGGAAACAGGCCTCCTTTGTTAAATAAGAGATATGCAAAAATATAGTTCACATTTCAAAAGTTCCAATTGGGACCTATTTTACAATGTTTACTTGACAGGTGGTATGATTTGGCACACTTGTAGTATGTGTGGTGCACACTCGTTCAGTGTGTTTTACAACTTCTGAGTTCCTTCTCCACTGTTATTGTTATCCTGTACCTGCAATAGGCATGCAGGTTCAGGCAATGCTCAAATTCGAATTGAAAGTCGGGCTCTGGCGATCCACATGACACACTTGACACACACATGACACATTTGTCCTTCTCCACAGCTGATGCACCTGATCACAACAGCACGTGATCACAGCGAGCGAACGTCACAAGGCCAGGTGCGGGTGGAGCGCCGCCCGTGACCGCCGGCCCGAGTCCCGGCGGCGGCCGGCGAGCCGAGCCATGTCGCTGCTGCAGGGCCACCTGGCCGACGAGAAGCGGGCCGAGCCGGCCGCGCCGGCCGCGCCGGCCGCCCCCCTCCCGCAGGCCATCAGTGATCGGGCGCTGGGCGGTGGCCAGCCGCGGCGCCGCCGCCGCCCGAGCGGCGCCTGCTCGACGCGCACGAGGACAAGCTGGTCACCCAGCCGCTGCAGGAGAAGGTGCGCACGTGAAGCCGGCGCGCGCGTGCGCTCTTGTGATGCACTGCTGGGAGTGATGGCGGCGCGCTGTGGTCCGTCTCATGCTGCTTTACGGACGTAGTATTCTTTTGAACAAAATAAGCTGTGTTCGTGTCTCAGAATTGTGTGATCAAAACGAGTGGTTTGTGATGCATTAGGCAACTGTATTTTTTTGTAAAATAAGGTAAGAACCCAATTCTTGTTTATACAGACAAGTGCCTTTGTCTGAAACAGCCAATGAGTGGTTCTAGTCCAATGCAGAGACATATAGGTTTATCAGTTGTGGCCATTGGCTGAACCCCACACCACATGTGAAGCATCAAGGGAACTTTAATCAGCAGTTGTTCTTGAACTGCTCACACCATCGAGTGGTTTGCAATTATTGCCACCACATTGATCTCTCGTATTTAATGCCAAGATCGCCTTGCAGAACGCCACATTGTCGTGTCCGTAGGCGGCTGTTGGTTGCTTAATGTTAAGGGCATTGCCATGTCGCGGACCTACTCGATCGTTAGGCTGTGTGCCTGTTGGGTAGATGAGCTGTCCTGAGCTCTGGCGTTGGAGACAGCAGCGCCGCTGACCGGCCGGCGCCGCCCCCTTTCAGCCCTGCCAGATCCCGGCCAGCGCCAAGTCCACCTTCCTGATGGCGTTTAGTGGTGACGGGTGAGTGCTGGGGACGAGAGCCGGGCACATCCAGCGGCCAGCAGGGGCAGGGGACAAGGACAGGCTCAGGACCACGTGGCGAACGACATGTGCATGACGCCGGATGGTGTTGGAGTCGCCCCTGGAGTCAGCGGAACTTTGGTTCAAGGAGGGTAAAGTTGATTCTTCTGAAAACTTATGATTTAGGGATGCAGTCAAGTTGTCAAAGGGTGGGAATCATTGATAAGTTGACAAATTTAAGCAACAATATATATATATATATATATATATATATATATATATATATATGTAGTCACACCTTAATAGTTGAGTACAGTGAATGCGATGCTCTAGCAGGTTTTAAGAAACCTAGGAATTATTATGCTTCCTTAAGCCGTCGCCACCGCGATGGGCGTCGTCGGAATTGATTCGGGGTTTAAGCCATCTGTCCGTGGGGCGGGATCGGAGTCTGCCCCAGGTCGTGCTCTGTGTTTGGAGCCAGTAGGAGCAGCCTGTGTACAGAGTGGCGCATGTGCGTACTTTAAGTGGATGGTTGAGGTGGGTTGGAAGAGACTCTGCTCGGGCGGGATGAGGCGCGGGTCTCGTGAGCGCAGCTTGAAGGCTGCAAGACTGGGGGACGTAACAACAGCTTAGCCGAGGTACTTCGTTTGTTTCCGTGGTTATGCAGGTTTGTTTCTGGGACCACTACTAAGCCGAGCAGTCGGGATCCTCAAGATTAAGCACGGACCGTTCGTGTTACGCATAGTGGTGCTAGTATGTGCATGAGTGTCGATGCGCCTCGGTGTTTGGATACCGAGGAAGTGGTGAGTGCGACGAAGGAGAACGGGGAATGTGTGACGCTTACACAGCGATGGCGACCAATTTGTCGTACGCCGTTGAGGGTAAACACATGCCAGAGTGTGAGCTCGCGTGATCGCTTGTCACTGCACAGTGTCACCGGTACGTGACTTATAAGCGCGGTGACACGAATCCGTCTGTGCCCCATTCTTTTGTTACGTTTTGTATGAGTTTTTTCTGTTTCTTTTATAGTTATTTTCGTTTCGTGTAGATTGACCTTTCCTGATGGCTCTGCAGCGCCAAGGACGCGATCTCGGTCCGTACTGTGTTCTCGGTGATCCCACTGTTTGTCCGAGAACCTCCGACGCGGAAAAGGCGCAGTGACTGTGCTTGCACTGATGCGCCACGACAGGAGGCACGCAAGACAGGGGTGCGTTGCTGCCTGCCGGTGTAACGCTCGTGCTTTTCGGTGTACACCGCCAGTGCTCCCAGCCTCGACCCGGCCGCCTCCGCCCAGGCAGCGTGCGCTGCTTTGTCACATCTGAGCCCTCAGCCAACTTCATCAGAGCACACTCAGACAAGAACCTGCTCCACGCGCCGTCGCTTCCCGTCCGCTGGTCCTCTCACCGCTCGTTGCCCGCTTTAGCTCCTCTTGGAAGGGCGGCGTGCGGCCGTCTCACCACCTCTCACGGCCTTCTCGTCACCTTCTCACCGTCGTCTCGCCACCTGCTCACCACCGTCTCGCCGCCTTCTCACCACCGTCTCGCCGCCCTCTCACCGCCCTCTCACCGCCGTCTCACCGCTGCCTCCCGTCCGCCAGCAGCCGGGATCGCCTCCACGCACGGTGACCACAACATATACGTGACGGACATGGAGAGCGGCGCGCTGCTCAACACGCTGCGCGGCCATCCGCGCAGCCCCTGGTGTGTGGCGTTCCACCCCACCAACAGCCAGCTGATCGCGTCCGGCTGCCTGGGCGGACAGGTTCGCGTCTGGGACCTGCACGTGAGTCGACGGCCGGCGGGGGAGAGACGTGGGTCGAGCGAGGGCTGAGTGGTGGTCCTAAGTTTCGTCATGTACGTCCTAAGGGGCTAATGGAGGTCACCAGTCTCTGGCGCTGCACTGCAAACGGCTCAGAACCTACAGCTGGAAAACCTGAGGGAGCTTTCCAGATCCCAGTAGGATTATAGTCAGGTAGACATTGTTATCGTTAAAATAAGCGTGAAAGTAACCTAGCGATTCAATAAACTAGAGGAATGTAAATGTTGGTGAATTGTCCAGGCTGGGCAGCAACAGATACAGGAATCGTTTGCCAGCCAACTGCGCCTATACCATGTGTTCATTTGCACGCTCCTGCCCCTGACTACGGGCTGAGCTCGGCGTGGCGGCCGGGTGTGTGGCGGCGCCAGCAGCGGGCCCCCCACACGGGGCTGTCGTCTCCGCGCGCCGTGCGTGACGCGTCGGCCCCTCTGCGCCGGGTCCGCAGGGCGGCAGCGAGCGCTGGCAGGCGGACGCCACGCACGTGATCGCCTCGCTCGCCTTCCACCCGGTGGACCACGTGCTGGTCATCGCCAACCGGCAATCAACCTGTACTTCTGGAACTGGCAGAGCACCGAGCCGTTCGTGCAGTGCAGCACGCTGCGCGCCAAGGAGCGACTCAGGTCAGTCCTGAACGGGGGGGCGTGTGGGCTGACCGGGGGAGGGGCGGCCTCAGGCTGGTCAGGAGAGAGGCGCGCTGTTGCACAGCGGTAGCGCTTGGAGCGGCAGCCAGGAGTGTGCGGTGCGGCGTTCAAAGGCTCGAACCAGAGCTGAGAGGCGAGCCACACGCCCACGCGTGTGGTCGGCGATGTTCTCGCCTGCCCACCCATGTGCAGCATGACTGCGCAGATCGGGAAGAATTGCACACGAATTGCGCTGGGGGTAGCGCATGACCGTTTTCGGTAGGGAACGATTATTTCCAGCTGGATGCATTCTGGTATGTTTGGTGTGAAACTCTCGGGTTTGCGTGTAATGCACACGGTTACCAGTTCGGAAGCTGGCGCGTCGGTGGCCGGAAGGGTGGGCCTTCGCAGCGATGACGTCTAAATCGATCGCCACGCCGGCGGCTTAAATTAGTTGCGCGGCGAAGAAGACTGAAAATGCGTCAACCGTTGTGGCCAAAAACAGAATCAGTTGCGAAGAAATGGCGCTGGAATACGCACCGGTTGGTAACGAATTGATGCTATAATTTGATCTCATGGTCATTGACCGTCGAGAAGGCTTGCAACGAATATCCAATACGCTCATAGGAAGAAGCCATCCAAAGCAACTATTTTAGGTGTTTGGAAACCAGAAGCCTTGCCCACTGCCTGGCAGCGCAGCGAGGCCGCACCAGGCCGTCTGTGTGAGCGGGGGGCCGGTGGCCGGTCGCGTCCGCCGCACAGCTCGTGTTGTGGCGTGGCGCCAGCGGCGACGCTGACTCCCCCCCCCCCCCCCCCCCGAACACGGCCGCAGGTACGTCAAGTTCGACCCGCTCGGCCACAAGCTGATCACGGCCATCAGCAACAGTGGCGGCGTCGGCGGAGGGGGCGCCGGCGGCGGCTGGGCGCCGCCGAGACGACGCTGGCCGCCTCAACGGCGCGCCGTTCGCTCGAGTCGGTGCAAAACCGCTCACCTGACGCGGCGCTACGACCAGCTGCACGCGCAGTACCTGTCGCTGCTCTCGCAGCGGCCGGCCGGCCGGCCTCAAACAGGTGAGGCGGCCGAGGGCCGCTCGGCCCAGCCGCTGCCACAGCGGCCGGCGGTCCGCCAGCAGGGGAGATAAGCTGGTGTCGCGCGCCATACCGCCTGGTGGGGACGGGTTTTATGATTGTCGTTTCGGACGTCGTATGCAAAATTGTGACGCTACGCACGGTTATGGATGTGGAGGGTACAAGGAACATGCGTGCACAATTACAATCACGTGCACTTATGCGGGCTGAGTGTGCGTGGTATTACAACCCATCCATCGCCCCCCTCTCCCTAGTCCGTACGCCTCCGTGAAAAGCCTGTCTGCTGGACTTTCCACGGCCGGTTCCTGTCTGCCCGTTTCTTCTACCTGGGCTCTGGCACTAGAGGGACGGCTCGGAACCGGGCTGCCGCCCGTCTGTGACGTCAGGCGAACGCCGGGGTGTGTAGTCGGGCACCTGTGCGCGCGTGTGTGTTCATTTAAGTGGCGCCTGACGCCGCTCCCGTGCCTTTCTGCAGCCGGGCCTGGCCCGCTACACGCCGCCACCTCCGCCACCGCCTCCTCCGCCGCCACCGCCGCCCCCGCCACCGCCGCCGCCGCCGCCCCTGGAGCCGGCGGCGCACGCCGGGCTGGAGCTGGCGCGCCAGTACGCGGGCCGCGTTGACGGCCGCGGGCCGCCGCCGGCGCCGCGCCCAGTGACCTGATGGCCGACCTGGAGGCCGACTCGCGCGAGATGCTCAGCTGGGGCGCACGGCGTCATGGGACTCGCTGAGCGACATCATCGCGGACATGGGTCCGGACGGCGAGCCGGGCGCCGGCCGGCCCGAGCACGTGAGTGGCCAGGGACGCGGCCGGGCGCTCGGCCGGCCGCGTGGTGACAGGGCTCGGGGGTGGATGCAGGGCACTGACATGAACGGGCTCTGGCGATGCCCTGGAGGCCGCTGGGTGACGGCCGCCTGTGTATTGCGAGTTTGCTTGTCTGTTTCTTACTGTTTGCTAATTGTGACGCTCAAAGTGTTAGCAGGTGGTTGGTTTATGATCACGAGTCCGCGTGTCGTGCTGTGTGTGGTCGGTGCTCTCTCCCTTCTGTGTACGCGCGCCGCCTCTGACCGGGCCCGCGCCTGCCGCCGGTGACAGGGCGCCGACCCGGTGCCGCCGCCGGGCTCTGGCCACCCGCGGGAGGTGCCCGTGCGCCGGCGACCGTACACTTCCGGCTGGGACGTGGGCCCGGGGGGCGCCGGCGCCGACCAGCCGGCCGCGCAGCCGCCGCCTCCTCCGCCGCCGCCGGCCCGACTCAGCGAAGAGTTCCGCTCCCGGCTGGACGCCATCACCGCCCACGTGGCCAACATGCAGCGCGCTACCCGGTGAGTGCGGCGCCGGGGCCGGCGAGAGGCGGCAGCGGGAGGGAGGGGCGGCCAATATGTAGGGGTGGTGCAGGTGAAATGGCGACAGAGCAGGTGTTGGGACCGACGAGGCGTTGGGAGGAAGGGCGGGAGATGGATATCGCCGTTGGGGAGGTGGAGGGGGCGAAAGAAAAGGCAGGTGGTTAAAGAGATAGAGAGATGAGTGAGAGAAGGCAGGAGGGGATGGATGTGAAGAGAGAGGGAGAGAGGAGGGCACAGAGCGGGGAGAGTGTGAGTGTGAAGCGGCTGGAGATAGAGAGATGAGTGAGAAAAAGCAGGAGCATATGGATGTGAAGAGAGAGGGAGAGAGGAGGGCACAGAGCGGGGAGAGTGTGAGTGTGAAGCGGCTGGATCCCGTCTGTCCGGGCGTGTCCGCGGTCGGCGCTGACGGCGACGGCGCGTGTGCTGCAGGTTTCCGCGTGGAGCTGGGTCGCCAGCAGGCCAGCTACGTGTCGCAGCTGCAGAGCATCCGCGGCATGCTGGGCTCGCTGCAGGAGCAGATCCGCGCGCTGTACGCCTCGCTGCAGCGGCTGCCGGAGGTGCCGGCCGTCGAGCCGGCGCCGGCCCTCTCCCGGCGGTCGGTGCTGAGGCGCGGCGCGCGGCTCCGCTCCCGAGCCGCGCCCAGGTAACGGACGGCGCTCACCGCCGCCGGTACCCGGCCACCCGGCCACCCGGCCCCGGCCCTCCCCCGCCCCTGCCCTGCCGTCGCCCCCGCTCGTCAGCCCCACTCCCCTGTCGCTGCTCGCCAAATGCCCCGCTGACGAGGTGGCGGGATCATTACCGATGCGGGCCAGGGGCCGGCGCACGTGCGGTGGGCCGTCAGTGCTGCCGGTTTTAGGCGTGCGTTTGGCACGCTTTGTAACGATTTACGGTGCATGGTGACTGGCGAGGATATATGTGAGATGTCACTGTCGGCGTCGCTCTCAAGATGCCCTTTAAGGCTATATGGCGTGAGCACGGCATGAATTTTCGACGGGGTATCACGCCTAGAAGGACATGCTCTCTCTAATGTTCGCGGCACTGCGGTCACGGTCACCCGCCAACGGTTGGGCGGCGTCGGCCGGATCCCCGCGCGGTGCGTCCCCGGAGCGTCACCGCTCGCGCCGTCCGGCAGGGTGCACCGCTCGTCGGAGGACGGCGCCGACTCGGACTCGCCGCCCGACACGGCCGGCCCTCACGACACCTCGGATGACGGCGGCCTGGACGGTAGGTGACGCCGCCGGCGCTCCGCCGGGTCGCGCGCTCGGCGCCGCGGACGGACGCGGCGTGTGCGGAGCGAGCCTGGGGTCGGAGTTCAGCGGGCCTCGCTGAACTCAGACCGCTGTCTGTGCGGAAGCTGCTGCCTGATTGTTGTTGTCCGGCGGCTGGTGCACGCTTTCTTGGGGCGAAGCTCGCCCCTCCGGAGGTGGAGTAGCTTGGCTGCTGTGAAACAGCGTCTTTCCCAGTGGCTTAGCTTATTTTCAGTGAAAGATTTGCCGCAAGCCAACGGTGTTTGGATTGGACAAGCCAACGATTTTGTTTGGATGTAGCTTTTGGGAGCAGTACCCGCGAGCCATGGCCCCTACGACGCTGCCCGCTCCCGTGCGGTCCTTTTGACGGCCCCGTCCGGAATGACAAGTTTGGGCGTCGGCCGCCAGGTGTCGGTGCCGGCTCCAGTCGCACGCGGCCGCTGCCACCGCACTTCTCGCTGCGTCGTCCCCACGCCCGCTCCGCCAGCAGGCTGTCCCGGGTGAGTGCTCGGCGCACGGCGCCGCTGTGGGGCCGGGCTGTAGTGCCGAGCTGCCTGCCCATGCTGTGTGTGGAGTGTCGGGGCCGACCGTCTGTGTAGTGGTCTGCTGTCGCGTGGTGGCTGCTTGCCGCCTGGCAGTGTCTATGTTGAACGGTGGCTGTGTGAGGTGGCTGTGAGAGGCGGTTGCTGGCGTTGTACACGTGTTGCACAGCCGCTTCGGTCTGCCAGGAGGCGTGCGGTGCTGGGTCGTGCCCCGTGCGGTGCGCGGTGACCTCCGCCCGGTCCTGACGCGGCCGCCTCTGGCCGCCAGAACCACTCGAGCTTGCGCTGCGCCGTGTACCGGCTGCAGCACTCGCTGGCGCGCTGCAACCAGCTGACGCGCCAGACGCAGCAGCAGGTGGTGACGGCCGAGCGCCAGGTGCGGCTGATGCTGCGCCAGCTGTCCGGCTCTGAGCCGCTGACGGTGGAGCAGCTTCGCCAGCGGCAGCCGGCGCCGGCGCCGGCGCCTCCGCCCGCCGCGCCCGGCTGCCGGCAGTGTGGCGGGCGCGCGCCGCCGGCCGGCGCCGGGACGTCGCGCGCGCCTCGGCCGCCGGACTGGCCACAGCCGGGCCCGTCGCGGAGCGAGCCGGCCGGCTCACCGACTCGGCCGCCGCCGGTTCCGGCGCCCGTCCCGGCCCCGGTTCCCGCGCCGGCTCCGGCGCCGACACCGTCTTCGGCGCCGTCTTCGGCCGCCGCGGCCGCCGCGCCACCCGCCTTCCTGCCGTCGTCCCTCTACTCGTCGCCGTCGCCATCGCCGTCGTCTTCCGGCTTCATGCGTGTGCGCGGTCGCCTGCCTGGCCGCGACTTCTGGAATCCGTGAGTGGTCGGCGGACCGTTGCGTTTGTTTGTCGGCCGTGGGCACTGTCCGCGATGAACGCCTTGCGCTTCTTCCGAGCGGGACGCCTGTGGCGGAAGCAGGCTGCTAAAGGGTGTTGGTAATTAGGCTGTTGTACATTTTTCGCCAACAAAGGCCGGTGGAGAGCGTTCGATCAATGTTTATGGGTGCACACTAGTAAAACGTAAACCACATTCGCTTTTGCTGTTTGTTACTAGCTGGGTACGCACTGTTTTCCGCAAAGTTTTGCCTCTGACAACTGGCCGTGTCGCTCGGTGGTGACCGTCCCGTCGCCGGTCCCGCGTGACGCAACCGCCGCTGCGCCGGCCAGGTACGGGCGGAGGCGGCTGCCGTACCTGCCCGACTTCGGCACCATCTCGTGGCCGGGCCGCCCGGCCGAGGCGGCGGACCCAGACGCGGACCCGGACCCGGAGCCGGACCCGGAGCCGGACCAGGAGCGGGAGCCGGAGCCAGAGCCGGATTCGGAGCGGGAGCCGGCGGACGGCGAGGAGGCCGCGCCGGGCCGCAGTTTGGCCGCCGACTGGCTGCGGTCGTCGCGGCCCGGCTCGCCCGAGTCGGACCGGCAGCGGCCCGGCTTCCGGCGCAGCCGCAACCGCATGCTGCTGGCCGACTTCCTCGAGTGGCGGCGGCGCACGCGGCGCCAGGCGAACGCGTCCGGCCGGCGCGAGGCGGAGCCGTCGGCCGCCGGCCACCGGCTCGGCCTGCTGCTGGACGCGGCGCGCGTGGTGGAGCAGCGCGACTCGGACCCGGCGCCAGCGGCGGGCGGCGGCGGCCGGCGCCGGCGCCCACCACCGCGCCTGGCAGCGGCTGGCCGGCCAGCTGGCCACCGAGCCGAGCTCGCCGCGGTCGGGCCCGCTCCGCTCTGACGCCGATCCGTTTCTCTCGGCCGCGCTGCGCTGGTCCGACGGCGAGCCGGCGCCGGCGCCGGTGCCGGCGCGCGGCGCGCCGCGCATCGAGGTGACGGGCCCGCCGCCGGCCGCCACGCCCACCGTCGTGGCGCCGCCCGAGTCGCAGCCGCCGCGCGCGCGCCCCGAGCGCGCCAGCTCGTGGGCGAGCCTGGCCGAGTTCGCCGACCTGGGGCGCTACCCACCGCTGGACGCCGAGCTGCCGCCGGCGCTGCCGCCGCCGCCCACCTACTACCGGCTGCGGCCGTACGGCGGCCTGTTCGGCGGCTGGAACCCGAGCTCGGCCAACCTGGGCGTGGCCGGCGGCGCCGAGGTGTTCGGGTGAGTGTCGGCGCTCGGGCGCGGCCCGCGGCGGCTCTGATGGCACCCCGCATGACCTGCGGGGGACGTCCCGGTTATGGAAGCGGTGCGTGCGTGCGTGCGTACGTGCGTACGTACGTGCGTACGTACGTGCTTGCGTGCGTGCGTGCGTGCTTGCTTGCGTGCGTGCTTGCGTGCGTGCTTCCGTGCGAGCGTGCGAGCGTGCGAGCGCGCGAGCGCGCGAGAGTGCGAGCGCGCGAGAGTGCGAGAGTGCGAGAGTGCGAGAGTGCGAGAGAGAGAGAAGCGCGAGAGAGAGAGAAGCGCGAGAGAGAGAGAGCGCGAGAGAGAGAGAGAGCGCGAGAGAGAGAGAGAGAGCGCGAGAGAGAGAGCGCGAGAGAGAGAGAGAGCGAGAGAGAGAGCGCGAGAGAGAGAGCGCGAGAGAGAGAGAGCGCGAGAGAGAGAGAGCGCGAGAGAGAGAGCGAGGGAGAGAGAGCGCGAGAGAGAGAGCGAGAGAGAGAGAGCGCGAGAGAGAGAGAGAGCGAGAGAGAGCGAGAGAGAGAGCGAGAGAGAGAGCGAGAGAGAGAGCGAGAGAGAGAGCGAGAGAGAGAGCGAGAGAGAGAGCGAGAGAGAGAGCGAGAGAGAGAGCGAGAGAGAGAGAGAGAGAGAGAGAGAGAGAGAGAGAGAGAGAGAGAGAGAGAGAGAGAGAGAGAGAGAGAGAGAGAGAGAGAGAGAGAGAGAGAGAGAGAGAGAGAGAGAGAGAGAGAGAGAGAGAGAGAGAGAGAGAGAGCGAGAGCGAGAGCGAGTCGTCCTCTTGGCCGGTTCCATGCGGCGTAAAGTAAGACAGCGTGGTCGTGAGAGATGTGTCGCTCTCGGGTTGGACACCCCTGCCTAAGTCCGTGGTGGGTCCGACACCCCGCTCGAGTCGGCACGGTCGACCGCCGCCGTTGGAGCCGTGCAGCGGCGGCGGCGGTCGGTTAGACGCCTGGCGGCTGCTGAGCGGCGGGCGGTGCCGTGTTGCAGTGACCAGCCGCCGATGGAGTCGCTGGCTGGCTACGACAGCCTGATGCAGGTGATCGGCTACCCGTGCGTCAGTCACCGGCTGCAGGCCTGGGACTTCTCGGCGCAGCAGATCCCCGACATGACCGACGGTGAGGGGGAGCCTCCTGGTGTGGGGCGGCGGCCAGCGGTCAGCGGTCCTGGCAGTCAGCGGCGGCCGCCGCCCGGTCGGGGGTTTTGAGGCATTTGGGAGGGGGGTTTCGTCTGAAACGGGCCTCTAAAAAAGTGTGCACATTGTCAAACAGAGAACGCTGACGAGGTTATTTTGATCGTTTTTACCAAAGAGTGGTTGAAGCATCACAATTGGACGGGGCGAAATAGTTAGCCTCCGTGCGTCGTGCCCCGTATGAGGTTGCATTCAGCTAATTTGGAGCTGGGCAGAGATGGGTGGCGGCCGGCTCGCTGGCTGTTGATGTTGACGTTCGTGATGGCGAATCACTGAAGTTTTCTGCGCGGTGCGCTCTGAAATACTCTGATACATGGATGCCATTGGAATTCAACAACTCGGACGTTTTAGGCATTAGCAAACTGAAATGATAAAGTCCTTGTGTACCACAATATACAACTGTTATTCACCGTTCCCATAAATATGAAACGTTTCTGTTAAGACACGTCATTGGAAAAGATACTGTTCATAACATGACATGCTGTAATATTCAGAGCATGGATCACGGAAATGGTGCAGCCAGGGGAGCTTTGATAGATGATTGTTGGAATGCGTCTTCCCCGCGTTTTGCTGTTCGCAGAGTTATCTGTCCTTGCTTTTGACATGCTACCTACTGCGGGAGTCCTAACAAGCATTCGCACCTGTCAGCTGCGACAAACATGCGCTCCTGCTAGTCCTGACAAACATCCGCACTTCTCAGATCCGACATACACCCGTGTCTGTCTACAACCGTACCTATCCACATCCGTACCTGTCCACGTCTGAACGTGTCCGCAGCCGCACCTGTCCACATACGTACCTGTCCACAGACGTACCTGTCCACAGCCGCACCTGTCCACAGCCGCACCTGTCCACAGACGTACCTGTCCACAGCCGCATCTGTCCACATCCGTACTTGTCCACATCCGTACCTGTCCACATCCGCACCTGTCCACTGTGTCCTCAGCTCTCCACTGTGCCGCGGATTGGCAGCGCACGCGCTAAGCCGCTCCGGCTGTGCCTGGCGCGCCACGTGGTGCCTTCTGCACTGCAGGCTCACACCTCGTGGCCGGTGAGGGGGCCAGCGGTGCCGTGTGAGGCGCTGGCGGCGCGCGCCTGCCCGACCGGTCACCGGCCACCGGTCCTCCGTCCACCGGCAGAGCGGCGGAACCTGGTCTGCAGCCGGTGCAAGGTGCACAACGACGCCACTGTGGACATCTCCCAGGACGGCCGCCGCCTGGCAGCCATCGTGCCCGAGTCGCACCCCTCCATGGCCGTCTGTGAGTGCGCTGGGGCCCGTCCGTGACCGTCTGTGGGCGTGCTGTAGTCCCTAAGTGTACCAAAACCCCTCTATGTCCATCTGTTGCGTGTACTGTGACCGTTTCGTGACCATCGGAGAGTGTGCTGTGGTCTCCGACTATCTATGAGTGAACCGTGACCTGTCTATGACCATCTGTGAGTGTACCGCGGTCCCTCCGTGGCCGTCTGAGTGTGTACTGTGACTCTACACGGCTGTGTGTGAGCGCTCGGTGGCCTCTCAGTGGCCATCTCGGTGCGTCGTGACCTCCTCATGGCCGTCGCATGGGCGTACCACCACCCCTCCCATGGCTCAGCTGAAGAATTCATAACGCCAAAACCAAGGAGCTGAGGCGTGTTATGTTCGCAGTAGTGTTCTCCGCGGGTCCGGTGCCGCCCTGGAGTCGGTGTGTGACGGGCTGCTGTGTTGGGCTGTCGCCAGGTGTGTACAGCCTGGAGGCGGGCCAGCTGGGCCGGCTGCTGAGCCGCGTATCGCTCAGCAGCAACACCATCTCGGTCAGCCTGTCTCCGCGTGGGCGTCACCTGGTGGTGGGTCTGCCTGCCCGCCGCGCCGTCACGCTGCCCGCCGAGACCCAGGTAAGACCGCATGGTATGCGCCCTACCGTCACACTGCCCGCCGAGACCCAGGTTAGACCGCGTGTCACACGCCCTACCGTCACATTGTCCGCCGAGACCTAGGCGAGACCGCATGGTATACACACCCTACCGTCACACTGTCCGCCGAGACCCAGGTGAGACCGCATGGTATACGCACCATACCGTCATACTGCTCGCCGAAGCCCAGGTTAGACGCTGTGTCAGATGCCCTACCGTCACACTGCCCCAGACCCAGGTGAGACCGCATGGTATACGCACCCTACCGTCATACTGCCCGCCGAGACCCAGGTGAGACCGCGTGGTATACGCACCCTGCCGTCACACTGTCCGCCGGGACCCAGGTTAGACCTCGTGTCACCGCTCTACCCGCCCGCCGAAGCACAGGTGAGACTAGGCGCGAGAAGGTGCAGTGGCGCGCATGGACAACTTCTGCCCAGGAGGTTTAGTTGCGTTCTCATCCTTGTTCCGGGGATCGAGTGCGTCACATCTCACCGCCGTACTATAGCAACTGTTTGGTTAAGCGCTATGTCTTGCAAATGGTATCAAATAGATTTCCTTCCTAATGTTGACTGCCGTCCTAGATCGTTATGAGATATGCGGCGCCGTGCATGAGTGGACGCGCCGCGGCGGCGTGCGAGGCCTCGCACGCTCAGGGTGTCTCCGCCGCAGCTGATGGCGCAGATCTACCGGCTGGACGACAGCAGCGACCAGCTGGCGCTCATCAAGGACCTGCAGTTCAACAGCGGCGAGATGCTGAGGTGAGTCGACGGCCGCTGCTCGGTCGCAGCGGTCGCTCCACTGGCGGCGCGCAGTTTGGTGGACCTAGGCCTAGCGGGACGCAGATGATTTGTCGGTGATGTGGTCGTTAGTTCTGTTCAAGGGTGCATTTATCGTTTGATGTGGTCGGTGGCGAAGAGGTACCGCAGCTCGGTGACGTTCTCATGATGGAAACGTTCTGGTTTTGAAATTAGCTTAGCTGGCAACGACTCTTGTTCGTCTGACTCAGCCATTGTGAAAGCCCACTATACTAGCGACTAATTCACGGACATGGATTGTGAAACAGCAACTTAAGACTGACAAATTAAGCGTGACCTCCCAGCTGATGACGTCAGCGCAGTCTACCAACAACAAAAAGAAATGCCAAGTCATTGTCGCCTCACGGCCATCATAACGTAGCGGCAGGCTCGTTGGGGGCGGCGGGCTCCTCTGCCCCGAGGCGGCGGACGTCTGCCGCGCCGCCCGTGTCGCTCGGCTCGTCTCCCCGTGGCTGGCGTGACCGGGACGGTGACTGGAGCGGGCGTCTGACCGCGCCGCCTCCGCCCGCAGCCGCAACGTGTCGATCAACTGCATCCGGTGGCTGCCGACGCCCGGCGCCGGCCTCGTGTACGGCACCAACCGCGGCAAGCTGGTCATGCTCAAATAGCGCCGGCGCCGACGGCCGCGCGCCCGGGCGCCCTGCGGAGGAGCGCCGCCGAGCGCGGCGTCGCCGGCGGCGGCAGCCAGGGGCGACACAGCGCCGCGGCGGCCGGCGGGCCGGGAGTCGCGGCGGCGGTGAGCGGCGCGGCGCGGCGGCGGCGCGGCGGCGCCGGTGCCGTCGCCACGCGCCGAGGCGCGCCTGTCAGCTGTTCAGGGACGACGGGCATTGGGGACGCCTCATCTGACCGCAGACGACCTTTTCACGGTGATATAGGCTTTTTAGACGTGACGCTGTTGTTGACGGGGCCATGTGTTGAGTCGTGCCGCCGGCTGGCGTGGCGGGAAGGCCCAGCTAGACGCTCTGGCTCGGAGTGTCGGACGTTTTTCGTTGGCGCTCTATGTACGTGGCGCGGCGCGTATGCGAGTTGTTCGCGGATATCTCTTTGCACTCCCGCGTGCGGAGCGAGCGGACGTTTTAGGTAGTCAAACGCATGAGTTGATGACAGTTGCGATGGTATATCTGCTTTGTTGTAAGCTTTTTTGGTAAGCCACAGCTCTTTCCATGATCCGCTGAACACCGCATTATGTACTGACGGCGGTGCTGCTATGGCGCTCTCTGGCAGATTTTGTATCTTGTCGCTTTACGTTGATTCGAAAAGGTGGCAGTTGGACCGTTAATCGTAAGTGGGGAAGAGGAGACAAAATTGTTAGTTCCACTGACTTGGCTGTGATACACGTGACCACAGTGCGCTGTTGGACAATGCCGGCGTCGGCAGGCGCGCCCGGGCACCGCGGGGGACGGGCCGGAGCTGCGCCGGCCTGCCGGTGCGCCGCCCTCCCTCCTTCTGGTGTCATATCCTGCTGGTCAGCCTGCGCGGGGCGGGGCCCGCCGCCGCTGAGGGCGTGTTTGTGTGCCGATGCTGGTGAGTGGTGGGTGCCAGTCGAACGCGTGTAAATACAGCCTCCAGAGCAGACCGACCGCCGGCGGTGTTTGAGGCCGACCCGCGGCAGACGCTGTGGCTGAGGTTAAAGTGCAGGAGTGATGACCGCAAAGTTGTGGGTTCCAAACTAAGTGCCGGCTGCTTTTGTCGGTTTACGCGCGGAGATCGGCGGAGAGACGCTGCCTACAAAATGAGTTGTTCCTGGGCGAAATGAGCCCGTGAAAAATTTATAAAGCGCATTTTGGTGAAGCGTATTCTGGGTACCGTTTATTTTACTTCATGCTCCCGGCTAGGAAAGTCATCATTGTTCGACAACGGACATGTCTGGCATCAGGAAGAAAGGCTCGGAGATCATGGCATTTCGGGATTTCAGAGTTTTGACAATGTAGCCAACGTTTGCTTGATGGTGTGTAACCAGTACCTCCACGCATATCAAAGGTTGATAAGTCTTAAGAACTTTAATTCATTGAATTTGTTTCTCTTCTTCCCATTCTTCTCTGGACCGCCGTGATGCTAAAAATGCATGGTTGATGCCAACGGGACAGCCAGACACAGCATGTTGACGGGACATCCTTGCCAACGGGACATTCATGCATAGGAGTTGCCAGTATGCACGCACAGCACTTATGTTCTATTGCCCTATTTCCATCCGGATAGCGTTCGTGTGTTTGTACCGGAGCGGAATAACGGGACAACGCCGGTTTTAAACACCACTGAAATGAATCAAAGAAATACAGATGTGTGTTCCTTGCTTGGAGCTGGCATACCGTACTGTTAGAACCCCGGAGTGGGCTTGCTACGTCTGTTTAGCGGAACGGACTCCGGGGAGCCCTCCACACGGGCAAACCGAACGTTGCGATGGAAAGGGCGGGAAGCATGCGCCTGGTACCGTGCGCTGCGACGTTCCAGTCGTCTGGATCCGAGGCGGGAAGTTTGACCCACCGAGATATACTCAAGATCGTACCCAAGACATGAATTCACGACCGCTGACTAGCATACGTGGCAGGTGTGAACCCAAGTTCGGCAGGCCTAGAGGCCGGGTCCCAACTCACGGTCTTTTGGGATTGTTACTCGAGCAAACAGATTTACTTTGCAGCCAAATCAGACCCCCACTCATGCTTGTCATTTTAAAGAACAGATGACTCAGGCTCGAACGGGCTGAGACCGAAATCGGGCGTGAATCAGAATTAGCCTAAATGATTATGGGATTCTGCAAGCATGCAGCTCGCGCCCGGGCTTGGTCTTGAATTGAAATGGAACTACATGCTGCTAGGCCTGCGTCCGATTAAAACTGATTCGATGAAAGATTAATGAATCACATCATTTTTTAGCGAGTCGTAAGTAAGTTCACTCTTTGTCTATAAATTATTTGTGAGTCATCAATATAATTATTCGCTTTCCTACAAGCTTATATTAATCGAGCAAGGTCAACGTCAAGGCCATGTCAGTCGATTTATAATAGATTTCAAAAATCAGTACACGATCAGTAGGTATCATAAGCACAGCACAAAAACACTATACATTGGCTGTAGATACGTGGTTTATCAGTCAAGCACATGAAAACCAGCATGCAACGGCTCAATGCGGACGAATCCATGCTAAATCTATTTATGCACGGAGATGATTATTGGAATTATAGCTGAATCATTGAACTGGGGGGCGAATTGCCGAATCATTATTTATAACAGACAAAACCATGTTTTATTGTTTTGGATTGAGAAGCATAGTCTCCAGGGCCAAAGCGCCCATCTTGAAACATCAGTAACCTTGCGTTTTCGTATATTGCAGAATTTATGTCTTAATCAGGTTCGGTACTAAGCACGAGTGGCGAAGGACACGTTTAGCATGGTGCAGTAAGCAATTTACCTTTGGATCATATTATTTGTTAGATTCATTACTGCTAAATCTAAGTAACAATACAACTATTTGAGATCTGCTGAGGACTGACGCAGCAATGATTTGGGAGCTGATGAGATCCAATACCGCCATGAGTTAAGTGTCAGATCGGAAGCGTCAAACAAGGATCGTAAATCAGTGAAGAATCGGTTCTCAAAAATCAGAATCGAGTGCTGGTCTGAACACAATGGAGACTGCAAGCAACTAAAAGGGAACTTACCGGTATGTTGAGCTGGTTTTTTGGGTTGGTCGAAGACTGAGCATCGGCCACTTTGACTTCGTAGATGTTTGGAGCCCGTAAATGAAAATTTTAGAACTCACTAAGAATTTGGGATATGAGGCAAGATAAGCTAGACTTAGGGGTATAGTTAGATTTGGCAAGGCTGGATCAGGTTCTCATCTAGCCGACCTTTGCATTCCAGATAATTCTTACGAGACAAAACGAATTCCATCTCGGTAAGCACCGCACCAGCTGCTGACTCTAGACGTAAGGTTTAGGTTTCGGACTTGGAAATGCAGTTTGTTCTCAGGACTCGGACACAAACTCAGGCTCATAAGTGAAGCTAAATGAAATCGAAAGGATTCCTTGATTCAAACTTCGGAGCAAGACACACAAAATGTGTATCCGATTTGGAGATCTCTGGACTCAAACTCAAACTCAAGACTCTAACGACAGACGCACAGCCGAATGCAACGATTATGCCTATTTGCAGGGCTTCCTGAAGGCGTGTGCTCTAAGTTCGTGAGAAAAGGTACGAGCATATAAAGGTCGTATGGCGGAAGTCGTACGCAAAAGTTCGTACGCGAGAGTTTGCGTGCAACTGTTTGAATGGTACGTGCGTAAAATGCTATTATTGACAAAAGTCCGTTAGCAAAACAGCTCGTATGGCAAAAATTAGTATGCATAACGTACGCACGTAATTTTTCGTAAGCAATTGACGTGCAAAACCTCAAGGTGGATGAAAGTGGTTTGATCAGAATGGCTATGAAGAGTTACGTGAGCAAGTTAGCGGAGGGCAGTAAGTGCGTTCTGCTTTCCGAGAATCATGAAGATTAAGCCTAAATCGATGTTTGAAAAACTGCTTTCAGGGTGGTGGACGATACTTCTGCGAGAAGTGTCCCAAAACAGCTAGACCGCTGGGGTACCGAATTATGCACCGGCATTTCTTGAATTTCTCTGAATTTCGGTTTCCGGGGATAATCTATGTTATGAATTGAAGTGAGTAACTTCTAGCTCTATTCGGCGTGCGGCTTAAAAATGATGTTCTTAGACAATGTAAGTCGGCTGCAAACACGGTCCTATTCAAAGAGGATACATCAAAACATGTCCGGCTGGAGAGTCATTTTCTCTCGAGACTCCAATTTACTGTATATAAGCAAGAGTATACCGAGTGTCACTGTCGCGTCTGCCCGCCGTATTCCACAAGCCAGCTGACTCGCGTCGGTCAGCTGACGTCAGTGGCACACTCAAGGGCATCAGGCGAAGTCGCCAACAGCGGAGCTGTCTGGGTGGGTGATAATGGAGGAGCACGACAGACTCGACGGGTGGTCTGCAGTGGACATGTTTTTGAAACCTCCAGTTCCCTCCAGCTCAAGGTCACCTTGTACAACCCCAATCGATTCGAGTTCATTTGGTGGCTATCACAGAGCGCATGTACATGCCATGATAGCCAATGTACTTGTTACGTTAAGTCAGTCATAATACTTGACCTTCCTATGCAATTGTCGCCGCCCACCGCGATCACCACCCCTCTCCCCCCCCCCCCCCCTCTTCCGAGTCAACGGGATGTGGTGGCCCCACAGTGACCACTAACCCACCGCAGTCAACATGCATCTGGCGCCTGACACCAACAATTAAGATCTGCATTACAACGTTAAGCACATATGTGCATAGGTTTTGTTAAACGTTTTACATTGTCTTTTGTTTTGTTTGTTTGCACAGGTTTTGTTTCTTTGCTTACGTTCGGTGAGTCTTGCGAACGGTCTACCGTCAAACGAACTTCATTCGTGGCAAACATTTTCGAACACGAACTTCGTTTGCTTGCATCAGATTGGCCTTTACATACGTTCTTTTGCTAATCGAACGTTATCCTGACTAACATTCGCGCCCGAGGACTCGGCATAAACAAATATTTACGAGCTATTTCCACATCAAATTTTGGGAGCACGAACATTTTCTTAACGAGCTTGTCCCTGAGAAAC